CATCAAATTTATTCAAAATATATTTTGATCCCAGTAAGTTTAATACTTCAATCAAGAATATTAAATTAGAAAAAGAATTCTATTTGCTTATTAAATTAACCAAATCTGACTTTTCTTCGATATAATTTTATAATATTCTTCACCAAAAAATAACTACTTCTTTTGAGTATATGATAATGAGTTTATCAAAAATTTGTGATGAGTATATTTTAAGACTATTATCAAGAAAATATTCTTTATTAAAGATAATTGTTACTTAAAAAAGAAAAGTAAGCCGAGTAATTACTTTTCTTAGCAATAGAATGATATTTTTCTGTGTGTATGTACATGCGTGTGTGCTCCCGGCTACGTTAAGGAATGTTAATGTTAACCGGCAGCGGTGCCCGCGAAAAATGATAAACGAATTCACCGAGGAGTTTCGCATTAACACGCCCTCTTGTACGTAAACACGAGGATTTAACAGGAAGGAGTAGCTGAGAAGTCATGGCAATTTACCGCGAGAAACCGGTCCCTCTCGGTAATTTATCAGTAAGATAAATTTTTACAAAAATTGCTACTTTCTTACAAAAGGAATAATTATTTATAATACAATTATATTAATTTCTATAATCATTCATATTCGCTGAAGTAGAAATAAATTTATTTACATTTACAGAATTAGATGTCTCTTGCCAAATTATTTGGAAAGAGTTTTCTAAATCTTCTGCAGATTTGTCTCTCTCTCGCACGGTTGCGGAATTAGCAGTATTATAATTCCAACATGATCGCATCAAAACAACGTGATTGCGTGATCGTCAAGAGCGCGGAAATAATCTCGATTTCGAGTAACCGCGATGATTAACGGCGTTCGCGGAATCGCCTGTCGGTCTATCCGTTTTAGTTGCACGTTTTGTTTCTTCTCCCTTACGCTTCTCCTGAATATACGTCTGTCTTGCTGCGGACGCAAAGGAAATGCAAGGAAATGCAGTTAAAACGAACAAGTCTAATCGTGCTGGCCTTGTAAGCGCCTTCGGCGATTAGGCCGCGCATGCAGAAATATGCATGCAGATGCGGGCGGCAAATGTGCAACTTCCTGGGGATCGCGATAAGCTCGTTAACGGCGTTTGTATATGTACTCGAGAGTGCGCCAAGTGCCGTCGCAAACTCGCGCGCCGGATCCGACGATAAACTTGACGGATCATTTTCAGCGCGTGTTCAATCTAAACAGCATACAGCGCGGCACGTGATTGAACTTTAGAAGTTTAAGTAGCACAACACATATACACATCAGACCTATCGATAAATATTGATATAAAATCGATCGACAATTATAGTAGCTTGTATGATTTCACATAATCCTACATAATTATAGCGTTATTTTATAAATAATAGTATTAATAAGATTTTATGTATCACATTACAGAATTGCATAAATTATACGCGTGTCGATCTAAAAATAGAATAATCAAGTACCGCCATAACTAAGATTATTGTGATCATAGACGGAGACTTCGGTGGACGGCGCGCGGTACTTAAGACCGATCGACGACGGTATTATCTTAATTGTCGGGCCTTCGACGCCGAACGGCGAGATCACCGTTAGGTCCTAAGGTCGATGTCGCCGTTCCTTAATTATCCTGTCGGTCGTTACGTTAGAACCGTGGCGACTTGCAACGCTGTTATCACGCGGAACGATTCGCCCGTAAATAACGCTTCATCGAGAGCTCATGCTCGGAAGTAATTTCTCGCGCACATCGTACACTTCCTGCTGATTGATCCCCGATACCTGCCGATTACGCTGGACAAGAAAATTATTTCGATTTTCTCCCGCATGAATTACGTCGTGCTTCGTACGCTAAAATTAAATATCTTCCGAATTTTTCTGTACTACATAAGATTTATATAGAAACAAGATGCAGTGTTTTACAGTTCGATAAAGCCTCACATATTTCATTGCTCAACACGCCTTTAGTTTTCGCCTTTAATCGGTTACTTAAATCTCACTTGTCCCGGTTACATGTTCCATGTCGCATAGACACATTGTCGGCGATTTGCAGCTAATTATATCTCGCGTAGATTTCCCGATAGAGGCGGATTGATCGCTTAAGACCGGTCGATGGCTCGGGAAAAAGTTTGCCCGCGGAATCGCGATAAATCACGACGGGTAAAATCGATGGTAGGCGAGACGCCGGCATGGTGATGCCAAGGAGAAGAGAAAGAGGTGAATCTCTCCTTCTCTCCCTTCTCGCGGACTGGATTGAGAGGAGGACGAAGTGGAGGACGAAAACAAGAGATGCAAGGGAGCACCTGTCCAACAGCTGCCTCGCATATGGCGCTTGGTACACTCGCGAGATTATGTAAGGAAAGTGGGTGCCTTGTTTTCGAACGCCGTGGGCGCTGGTTTTCAAAATAATTAAGACGATTCGCGTCCCATTAATCCTTTCGTCGTCCTAAAAAATCTTTTTCCAGAGGAACAAACATTGCTCCACGAAAATTGGACAAAATACCATTTCCTTTTGATATCTTTGTAATTAAGCGACACTTTGAAGTATTCTCATTCGGAGAATAAGATGAGGAGTCAGGTTCTAAGATGCGTCCCTCCGCAAAGGATTATATAAAGTTCCTGATCCTATTACGAACGTCTGGGTGGCATCTGAATTTCTCATTTGGCTCACGCATCTTCGCGGAATGCAATATCCGCCCTCCTCTTTTCCAGTCGCTTTGCTCGGACGCCCCGACCATTAGTCATCCACCAATGGGTCCTCTGTCCGGTAACTCGTGGTCGAAAAGACGTAAGTGAGAGGAGAATACTAATAATTTGCTTGTAAATCCAAATCTGGACGCTCGACGCTCGACTTTGCGACGATGATAAATCTGCCTTCTCGCCGACCGTGTAAACATGTATACAAATTACACGAAAAAAAACGTTCAGCTTGCGCGGCAACGTCGGATAATCATAATGTAAGATCCTCACGCGAATAAGTGGTAGTAATCGGAATGATAATTAAGATAATAATAAGCTGGAAACTGTCGGAAAAAATCCGCGTGCCTCAACATCGTACGTGTCGAGGTCTCGGCGCAAGTTTGAGGATTAATTCACCGCGGCGGTGGCTCGCGCGGTCTCGGAGAAAGGGGCCGCGCGCGGGGTCCCGTATCGCATTATGAGAAGGCGTGGCAGCTACGTAACAATGAAGCCGGCAATTAAAATAAAAAAGGAAAAACGTGCAGCTGCCCGTCCGTCCGTCCGTCCGCGCAGACAGCGGCCTGCCCACGCGTCCAACGCGCGCGCTTATCTCTCCGTCCGCTCGAATCCCATAGATCGTCAATTTAACTATGGCTCATTAATTCCCGATCATGCGCGAGGCCAGACCACCGTGGGACGCCGAAACAAAGAGCTAAACGCGACGGAAAATCGTTTAAGTGGGAGCGATAACGCCCTCGGCGACGCTGCCCACAGTTGGGAGCCGATTAATTGTCGTTAATTATGATGGTTAACGCAAGAAGGGGGGAGAGGAGGGACATTTTTCGCACCGTTGTCCGTAAGGAATAATTTATCATTCGAAATAAACTCGTTCCGCGAATTGTCATCGAATGAAAAAGAAATTGATGAATCTCTCTCTTCTCCCGTCTAAAAAAATATTTTTTTAAAGACGCCCTCGTAATATATCAACGTCATTCTTCAAGGAGATTCATTTATGTCTCTCTACGGGATTTGAGAGAACGCAAATATAAACAGCGATTAGGGGGTGATCCTAAGTAAACACACATTCTGTGAAGTGGTTGGCGAGACAAGAAGTGACGGAGATAAAAGTGACAACTGCGCCGAGTGCGATAAATTCCTCCGCTCTCACGCAATGACACTACCATAATATTTGCTACGATTAATTCGTGTGTTTAACCTTCGAAAATAAATATCAATATTGGAGATGAATCTTCAAGCTCACCACGGATTTACATAATCTATCGAATCGCTTCAAATAAAATCGTTGTTTTTAACATGTTTCAAATTGGAATGAAAATAACATGTTTTATATATTAGACGCGCGGGTCGTATGTTAACATGTCGATTCGCCGGGGAGATCAAAGTGGATTTTTCAGCTGGCGATGAGGGCGATTATAAGTTTGCGGGTTTGAAGAGCACTGGGAGTCTCGAGAGGCGAGAGGCGAGAGAGTGGTCTCGAGCAGCACGTGTGGTGTAAAAGCGAAAAGATGCCGCCCGCAAAGAAGCCGGCGACTGAAAGTCTAGAATGGATCGTATGATTATCTCGGTTATTAATCTGTTCTCTGTGAATCATTTTTTACGAAAAAAATTATCACCGTATATAATCGAAAACACTTGGCAACGTCTCGCAGTTGCGGATGATAAGATTATTAAGGAGCTTTTGATACCCATTTTTTTGCAAGCTTTTCAATCTTTGAAAAAAAAAGTAAATTTTAATGTTTAATAAAAATTCAATATCAAGTTTTATGGTAATTTACATAATTATGTGGGATTTTCGAGAGGCCGCTGTTTCCAGGAATGAACATACAAAGGTTTGTTCCCGGGATTGATTACGAATGAAATGTCTTACGGCGATCATTCGTCAGAGGTTTCAGCGTGCCGAGAGTCAGATCCAAGGATCGAATAACTTCTATGCCCGGCGAGGGGTCTCCCGTGCCCTTTCACGATTTCCGTGAAATCAGAATAAAAAGTTGGAACACTGTTAGCCGCCGTGCCGTAACCCGAGATCTGTGTATCCTACGTTTCGGACTTACGGTCTCGCTTTTAATGCTCGCGCACGAGGAAAGCGAGCCTCGAATAACACCGTCGTGGTGCGTTTCCTCGAAATACATGTGAAAGGCATTTATTCCACCGCGGCCGGCCGAATCCCCGAACTTGCTCATTAAACTCGTCCGAATCTCGGTCGAGGCAACGAGAGCGCGTTAATTACAAACGCCGAATTTTATTTGCAAAGAAATTTCAGAAATTCTGCCCAAGTCCGGTGTCCCGTCTATAATTATAAATTCACGTTCTTTTTTAGTGTGAAAAAATCTTGTGAGAAATCAGTATCTTGCTGCTCAGGCACGATCGGGCGATCTAAGAATGGCATAAAGCGGAAGGACATTCGATCGGCAGTATGTGCTATGTGATAGTCACCGGGCGTAGTCTGCTGTGGACGCTCTTGTCTTTGGCAGCATTGATGGCAGTTTTATCGGGCCTCATTACTCCCAAGTGGCTCGTAGGACCGCCGACGATTAAGGATTCGAGTAAGTCTCTTCCCTCTTTTCCCTCTCGGCTCTTGAATATTTTATCGGAATTCCCGTTGTATACTTATGTAACGGTGCAACGCTGAAGAAGCGTTTCTCCTGTCTATTTTAACAGATGTGCGCTATCGCGCATTTGAATTACAATCTTATTTGTGTCGACCGTTGCTTTGTTCCGGAATTTCAGAGAACGGCACGGAGCTTTACACGCCGACTGTCGGGATTTTCAATCGTTGCACGCGATTGTACGGCAAGACGCACTGCGCGAATTTCAACGTCGACGGCTTCGCGACGGACGCCAGCGTCTTCCCGGGATGCTGGAAGGCGTCCTTGTTTTTCTTGTCCGCGGGCCTAGCAACGATGTCGGTGACCGTGATGGCTGCTCTACTGGGATGCTGCGTGCAGAGCATCGGCCGTAAGAGCATCTTCAATCTCGCAGGAGTGGCGCAAGCCGTTGCTGGTAATGCTGCTTCTTCGAAGGAGAAGATTCGAAACGGTGAAATGGCGAAGTGATGAAACTCCGGCTAAGCTTCTTAGCTCGCGCGTCTTTAAAGTGGTAGACGATATTTTTAGATCTCAAAGAAATTTTTTTCTATTTTTTATATCATGATATAGCAAGTTTCTTTTTGCGCGTTTCAAAATATGAATAATGACTTGTGTTCCAATATAGAAGCTAAAATCGCTTCGTAATAACAATTTAAGTTTCAATATATTTTTTTATGAAAACATTATTTCACATTTTAACGTTTACTAAGATACGTACAAAGCTCGCTTGCCTTTGATCAAATCGCGCTGGCAATAGCAGATTTTAGAAGGCAACGATCGCTCTCCGCTGCAGCTGGATATTCCGCGTGCGTAACGTGCTTTTAGCTTAACAATGGCATCTCGAGTGTGAGTGGCGCAACTCCCATTGTGGCGAAAGGTTGTGCTCGGAATAATCAACGAGAATACGTGAGCCTTAAGAGGCGATCCCATTGTCACGACTCTAACAAATCGAATTATCACAGAAACATATCTTTGCAACTCGTTTATTCACGTGACGTTCTAGTTTATGCGTGTTTATTTTCACAGGAATACTATATATTTTCGGAATGATCTTATACCCCGCCGGTTGGAGTGCCGATAGAGTGCAGAGGATCTGCGGTCATGAAGCCGACGCTTTCTATCCAGCTAATTGCAATCTCGGTAAATTTAAAACTGCGATGTTCAATATTAAAAATGAAACATATTTGAATGTATTTTTGAAGTCAAATGTCTTACGTTTCAATTTAAAGTTCAACTTCAATTTTTTTTAAGTAATCATAAAAATATTAACTCTAGAAATAGTTACAGAAGAATAAAATATATTCTTCGCTCGCTGAAAAATAATAAAATTAAATCAGATTGATTTCGATAAAATTAAATTACAATCGAACTGAAGGATATAAAAAAAATCAATTTTTTCCAGGTTGGGCTTTTTATAGCGCGGCGATCGGCGTCGCTCTCACCTTCGTCAGCGCCGTTTTCAGCGGACAGGCGGAGAAGTCGACGGCCAGCGACAAGGTCCAGGACAAAATGAATGAAGGAAAGACTCTAATATGCTTACCCTGAGCATGCAAATAAAATCAGCGAGAGGTCTGGCCTCGCCAAACGGGTGTGACGGTACGAAACGTCGAAAAGGATCGCTCGAAGAAAATCGAATTAAAAAAAAATGTTTACCTCCCTGTTTTCACGCTGCAAAACAGAAGGAAAAAAAAATTATGTCGCGCACAAAATTATCGTACGATTATAATTAAGAATCGAATAATTAACTGTGGGATCAGAAGAAAGTAGCGTTACATACGCCGCATCGAATTCGCGAAGATAAAGTATCAGATGTACTTACTGTCTTCCCATACTTACTGTCGCAACTTATTTAGACTCCTGCAACGCTTGCAGAATTCCTATTTTATATCTTATGTGTTTCTCTATGTCAAAGGAATATACAAAGTTAGTCATTGTCATGGATGTTCGACTTTTATCTACTCGATGTGAATAAAATAAATATACTATCACAATGAGAGAGAATATACTTAACAATGATTCTTCCTGAACATTTGCTTGAACAATTGATTCCTCGCATCGCTTCCATTTTCTCACACCAGCGAGTTCGATTGATAAATAATGCGGAATTAATTCATTTCATTCTTATTCAACAGATTTCTTGAAATTCAATCGAACGTATATAATTTAAATAAATACATGTACATAAAGTTGTGGCTGTCAGTCGATTATATATATACATGTATAAATAATGAAGGCACCAAGGGAATCAACAATCAATAAATTACGAATGA